GTTATTCCTCGTGGAATGAGGTTTACTGGGGCTGCCGACAAAGGGCTTTGATGTCGACAGGGGGAACGTCCAGACTAGCGCGAGAGCCGACAAACAGCTGATCAGCTGTTTGTCGGCTCAGCGCGGCAGCCATGTAAATGTAAATGAAGCCGCGATCATTTAAATCGCGGCTTCATTTGCCTTTGCTGAACAAACAAATCCACATGCCTCTGCCGACAGAGGCATGTGGGGCTGCCGACAAAGGGCTTTGATGTCGACAGGGGGAACGTCCAGACTAGCGCGAGAGCCGACAAACAGCTGATCAGCTGTTTGTCGGCTCAGCGCGGCAGCCATGTAAATGTAAATGAAGCCGCGATCATTTAAATCGCGGCTTCATTTGCCTTTGCTGAACAAACAAATCCACATGCCTCTGCCGACAGAGGCATGTAGTTTAGACGTACCCTTAGAGAAGACTCTGCTGATGTCACTTTCCCACAGGTCCCCCTACCATGTTTCCTAAGACCTCACACTTTGTCATAGGTGGAAAACCAAAGATCCTCAGCTTAAGGTCTGGAAAAGATACCTCTGCTGCTCTGACAGCGGCAAGGGCCTGGACTTGGATACACTAAATAAATAGTACCTACTTTAGCTCAAACTCCTACAGTCCTACTTAACCCTTATTTAGGAAAACTTCCACTGCCTTCAAATTTTTTTGTGGTTTGCTATACATTCTCAATATTAGAAAGTATATTAGCAATGCCTTACCTCATACCGATGCCTGTGTCGTTCCTCTACAAAATCTTCATCACCATAAAGTTTCCCTGAAAAGAACACAAGGGAAATGATTAATAGGAAAGGGTTGATTCTGTCAAACATTTCCAGAAAGCAGAAGATAGCGCTCTTACAATGTGCACAGTGTTTCTAATGTTATTTTTTTAGTTCGTGATGTCCCCCACATGCTCTATGAAATCTAAATTCCAAGAAATGTCTTACACATCAACAACTAATGCTATTCACTATGTCCCTAACACAATCTCTTCTTTTGTTTTTCTGTCTCACTACTTTTCTGTTCCTCTTAATTTTTAAATACATGACACACATAATGTTAACTTATACAGTTGTTTCCGTGTTGTTGTAGCCCTGTTCATTCCAGGCTATTAGAGAAACGGGGGGGAGGGGTGAAGTATCATATTTATTGGACCAAATTTTAATGGTGAAAGGACAAATTTTCAAGTTTATAAAGAGCTCTTCAGATGTAGTTGGCCCAACAAAAGATGCTATCTTACCCACCTTGTCTCTCTAATTGCCAGTGACTGTCAATTTCCCCAGATTAGATTATGAATAACTTGTATAGAATATGGAGCTTTCACGCCAAACTTAAATGACTCTCCAGTGATTATAAAGCCCATTCACAGAAAATGGGCTAGTGATCCAAACTATATGAAAGCTTTATAGGGATATTCAGTGCCCCTTATGCACTGATAATAGGCCTCTGAAAGAGATTTCAGACTAAAGCAGAGGTGGGAAAATTCCAGTCTGCGGGCCGGATCTGGTCCACAGGGTTAATCCCTGGCAGGCTCCCACCTCCATGTTTACCTGCGCCTCCACAGGTATCGGGGGATCTCAGCTGTGGTTGGCCATGAATTGCATTTGTGGCCAATGCGAGCAGTGGGAAGCAGTGCCCAGCTCTGTGGTACTTCCTGCCATTTGCACTGGCCGCAAACAGCGATTCACAGCCAACCAGAGCTCTGATACCTACTAAGGTGCAGGTAAACATAGTGGCAGTAGACTGCCAGAGATTAACCATGAAGGCTGCAGTTTTTTTACTGCCCAGCCCTGGACAAAAGGAAGCAGAGTTTGCCACCCAAACCTTTTATTAGGTCAATTTTAAAGGACCAAGCCCAGTTTACATAATACGTGCAACAACAAAAATAGAAATTCATACTCTATTCTTTTTTTCTTCTTTTTGTGCTTCCATCCTGCCACCTTCTCCTCTTCCATCTAATAACTTCTAAAGCCCATCAGGCTTAAGTGGAAAAATCACACATTGACTAAACTAAGAAAATAGGAACGGCCATGCTGGGTCAGACCAATGGCCTATCTAGCCCAGTATCCTGTCTTCTGACAGTGGCCAATGCCACAAACATTCCCTCTCCCCCCTTGTTATCTAGTCCTAGCTTTTGGCAGACAGAGGTTTAGGGACACTCAGTTCAGGGGGCTACATTTCTGGTCATTTTTTGAATTGTTATTTTGTTATACAATTCTTTTTTGAACTATTATACTTTTGATTTTCACAACAACCCATGGCAAAGAGTTTCACAGGCTGACTGTACACTGTGTGAAGAAACACTTCCTTTTGTTTGTTTTAAATCAGCTGCCTATTAATTTCATTTGGTTCTTCTGTTATGAGGGGTAAGTAGCACTTTCTTATTTACCTTCTTCACACCAGTCATGATTTTATAGACCTCTATCATATCCCTCCTTAGTCACCTCATTTCCAAGCTGAAAAGTCCCTGTCATATTAATCTCTCCTAATACAGAAGCTATTCTACACCCCTAATATTTTTTGCTGTCCTATTCTGTATCTTTTCTGATTCCAATATATCTTTTTTTGATAGGGTGACATTAGTTCGAATTAACTTTGATAGGTGCTACACATACACACCGCTTGTTCGAACTTAATTCGAACTAGCGGAGCGCTTAATTCGAACTAGGTAAACCTCATTGTACGAGGACTAACGCCTAGTTCGAATTAAGTAGTTCGAATTAAGGGCTGTATAGCCACTTAATTTGAACTAGTGGGAGGCTAGCCTTCCCCAGCTTTCCCTGGTGGCCACTCTGGGCACCACCAGGGAAACTCTTCTGCCCCCCTCCCGGCCCCGGAGCCCTTAAAGGGGCATGGTCTGGCTACGGTGCCCATGCCAGGTGCAAGCCTGCCAGCACCCCGCCAGCAGACCCTGCACCTGGCACGGCACGAACCAGCCACCTGCTGCCACCCAGCCCTCTGCCTCTTCCCGGGACCAGGCTGGCGGATCCCAGGAGCCTGCCCAGAGCCATAAGAGGTGGGTGCCCACCTGGTCTAGTGCGGAGATCGTGGACCTCATCCACGACCTCCGCACTAGGCACAGGAAAGTGGCCATCTAGGGCAGGAGAGCTGCCAGCCTGGCCACCCGGGAGCAGGTTTGCATGAAAATCAAGGTGGTCCACTGAGACCCCCGACCCAGAGCCCTGAGCTTAGAATGGCCATACTGGGTCAGACCAAAGGTCCATCTAGCCCAGTAGCCTGTCTGCCGACAGCGGCCAACACC